GCATCCTCCATATATACAATGACCACCAACCATATACAATGACCCCCCATGTACAATGACTCCTCCCACACACATTAATCCCCCATCACCATAGTAACATTTCCTCTCTCCTCGCCCTGGTCCGGTGCTGTACAGGAAGAGGAGGGGTCCTTTTACAGCTGTCTTTTCTCTGCCTGCCGGCTAAGGGCGGGGACTGCCAGTATAGCGACAAAAACCGGAGCATGCGCAGCTGCTTCATCGGATTTGGCGGCAATCAGTCAGTAAAGTGTGGAAAGGAATGAGCCCAGACCATGTATTCGGAGCGGGGGGAAGGGGCACGGGGGTGGGGTTATTACTTTTACACCGCCCCCTCCTTATATACACCATTCTATACACCCCACCCCTTACCGTATACACCATTCTATACACCCTGCCCCTCCTTGTATACACCATTCTATACACCCCGCCCCTCACCGTATACACCCCGCCCCTTACCGTATACACCATTCTATACACCCCGCCCCTCCCCGTATACACCATTCTATACACCCCGCCCCCTCCCCGTATACACCATTCTATACACCCCGCCCCTCACCGTATACACCATCCTATACACCCCCCCCCCCCCTCCTTGTATATACCATTCTATACACCCCGCCCCTCACCGTATACACCATTCTATACACCCCGCCCCTCACCGTATACACCATTCCATTCTATACACCCGCCCCCTCCTTATATACACCATTCTATACACCCCGCCCCTCCCCGTATACACCATTCTATACACCCCGCCCCTCACTGTATACACCATTCTATACACCCCCCGCCCCTCATCATATACACCATTCTATACACCCCGCCCCTCACCGTATACACCATTCTATACACCCCGCCCCTCACCGTATACACCATTCTATACACCCCGCCCCCTCTTTATATACACTATTCTATACACCCCGCCCCTCACCGTATACACCATTCTATACACACCCCGCCCCTCATCATATACACCATTCTATACACCCCGCCCCTCACCGTATACACCATTCTATACACCCCGCCCCTCCCCGTATACACCATTCTATACACCCCGCCCCTCACCGTATACACCATTCTATACATCCCGCCCCTCATCATATACACCATTCCATACACCCCGCCCCTCACCGTATACACCATTCTATACACCCCGCCCCTCACCGTATACACCATTCCATACACCCCGCCCCTCACCGTATACACCATTCTATACACCCCGCCCCCTCTTTATATACACTATTCTATACACCCCGCCCCTCCTTGTATACACCATTCTATACACCCCGCCCCTCACTGTATACGCCATCCTTTACACCCCGCCCCTCCTTGTATACACCATTCTATACACCCCACCCCCTCCCCGTATACACCATCCTATACATCCCGCCCCCTCCCCGTATACACCATCCTATACATACACCCCGCCCCTCCCGTATACACCATCCTATACACCCCGCCCCCCCTCCCTGTATACACCATTCTATACACCCCGCCCCCTCCCATATACAATGACTCCTCTCCTCCATCACCATGGTAACATTTCCTCAGTCCTCCTTGCCTGGTGCTGTATAGGAGGGTCCTTTTATAGGTGTCCGTTCTCTGCCTGACGGCTGTGGGCGGAGACTGTTGGTATAGCTGCCTCACACCTGAGAAGTTACCTCAGAGGTTTCCGATTTTCCTGGGTCACTCATGTTTCCATGGAAAGGTATATACGGGGAGGGGGCGGGGTATATAGAATGGTATATACGGGGAGGGGGCGGGGTATATAGAATGGTGTATAGGGGGAGGGGACGGTATATATAATGGTGTATACGGGGAGGGGACGGTATATAGAATGGTGTATACGGGGAGGGGACGGTATATAGAATGGTGTATACGGGGAGGGGGACGGTATATAGAATGGTGTATACGGGGAGAGGACGGTATATAGAATGGTGTATACGGGGAGGAGACGGTATATAGAATGGTGTATACGGGGAGGGGGCGGGGTATATAGAATGGTGTATACGGGGGAGGAGACGGTATATAGAATGGTGTATACGGGGACGGTATATAGAATGGTGTATATGGGGAGGAGACGGTATATAGAATGGTGTATACGGGGAGGGGGCGGGGTATAGAATGGTGTATACGGGGAGGGGACGGTATATAGAATGGTGTATACGGGGAGGGGACGGTATATAGAATGGTGTATACGGGGAGGGGACGGTATATAGAATGGTGTATACGGGGAGGGGGCGGTATATAGAATGGTGTATACGGGGAGGGGACGGTATATAGAATGGTATATACGGGGAGGGGGCGGTATATAGAATGGTGTATACGGGGAGGGGACAGTATATAGAATGGTGTATATAAGGAGGGGACGATATATAGAATGGTGTATATGGGGAGGGGACGGTATATAGAATGGTGTATACGGGGAGGGGACGGTATATAGAATGGTGTATATGGGGAGGGGACGGTATATAGAATGGTGTATACGGGGAGGGGACGGTATATAGAATGGTGTATATGGGGAGGGGACGGTATATAGAATGGTGTATACGGGGAGGGGACGGTATATAGAATGGTGTATACGGGGAGGGGACGGTATATAGAATGGTGTATACAGGGAGGGGGTGGGGTGTATAGAATGGTGTATACGGGGGGGAGGAGACGGTATATAGAATGGTGTATACGGGGAGGGGACGGTATATAGAATGGTGTATACGGGGAGGGGACGGGGTATATAGAGTAGTGTATAAGGGGAGGGGACTGTATATAGAATGGTGTATACGGGGAGGGGACGGTATATAGAATGGTGTATACGGGGAGGGGGGGGGTATACGGAGGGGGCGGGGTGTATAGAATGGTGTATACGGGGAGGGGACGGTATATAGAATGGTGTATATAAGGAGGGGACGATATATAGAATGGTGTATACGGGGAGGGGACGGTATATAGAATGGTGTATACGGGGAGGGGGCGGGGTGTATAGAATGGTGTATACGGGGGAGGAGACGGTATATAGAATGGTGTATACGGGGAGGGGACGGAATATAGAATGGTGTATACGGGGGAGGAGACGGTATATAGAATGGTGTATATGGGGAGGGGGCGGTATATAGAATGGTGTATACGGGGAGGGGACGGTATATAGGATGGTGTATATAGGGGAGGGGACTGTATATAGAATGGTGTATACGGGGAGGGGACGGTATATAGAATGGCGTGTATGGGGAGGTGACGGTATATAGAATGGTGTATACGGGGAGGGGACGGTGTATAGAATGGTGTATACGGGGGAGGGTACGGTATATAGAATGGTGTATACGGGGAGGGTACGGTATATAGAATGGTGTATACGGGGAGGGGGACTGTATATAGAATGGTGTATAAGGGGAGGGGACTGTATATAGAATGGTGTATACGGGGAGGGGACGGTATATAGAATGGTGTATACGGGGAGGGTACGGTATATAGAATGGTGTATACGGGGAGGGGGCGGGGTATATAGAATGGTGTATACGGGGAGGGGACGGTATATAGAATGGGTATATACGGGGAGGGGCGGTATATACAATGGTGTATACGGGGAGGGGGCGATATATAGAATGGTGTTGTCAGGAATGGACTCGCCAATGCTAGTTGGACTCACCTGCCTTGTGGGCTGCAGTAACAGTGCTGGCCAGCGGGTGCTCTCGGCAGCCAGAAGCTCACTCCTGCAATCAAGCCATCACCTGAGGCTGATTGCAGGAGGCGTATTTAAGGAATGGCCAGGCCTGCAGTCAGGGCCTTGGTGTATTGTTCCCATGAGCCCCTGTACCTGCATCCTGTCTGCTTCCTGCCTTATCCTGACTCTGCTTGAACTCTGCCTGCACCGACCTCGGCCATTCCTGACCAATTTTCTGCTTGCTCCTTGTACCTTGTCTACCCGTTAGCTACCGACCCGGCCCGCCTGACTACGTTGTTCTCCATATTTATATATATATCAGTTAAGGTTTGGGTTTGTTGCACCTTGTTGTATGTATTTGTGTTAGTTTTGGGTTTGCTTTGTTGCACTGCGTTTATGTTTGTGTTGCCCTTAATAAATTATATTGTTTTACACGCTATACCTGAAGCCTGCGTTTCCCTGTGTCGGTCCACACACCTCTGGTCGTACCCGGAGCCCTGACATTACACCAAGGCCAGTCCTGACCAGAAGGGGCTGCACAGGGAAGCCATCTTGGCTTGTTGTTGGGAAGGATGAATCCTGAGGATGTTGTGTACTTGTATCTGCTAGTCTTAGATGACAGAGAATATGCCTATCAGACTCTGCAGGAGTATCCCCGGGATCAGCTGCTAGAATGTATACGGATCGCTCATACCCTAGTGGATCAGGGCAGGTTGTTTTCTGAGGTGCAACCATTGATCCAGGCTTGTGCTAAGTTGGCTTCATCTGGTACCCCTGAAAGCAGGGATGACTTTTCTCCGCCATTCAGTGCAGACCAGGTAGAGTCCCTGGTATAGTTGTTGGAGGATGATCCGGATTGCTTCTGGGAACATTATTCAGCATGTTCACCACATGTGCTAGTGGAGTGTATAAACGCAGTGCAGTCTTTGGTCAGACAGGCTATGTGCAGGCGGAGTTTTGTTCAACCAATACTACAGTCCTGGTCAGACTTGTTACACCCAGCCTCAGGCAGCTTGCAGCAAACCCGTCCTGCTTCTAATCATTCCTCTGCTCAAAGCTCTATTCCTGCATCCCCGACAGCACCCCCAGTGACAGCCCAATATACCCTGCTATCTACCACATGTCAGTCCCCTGTTCCCACTCGCTGCACCTGCCTTTAACCCTGTAAAGAAGTAATCTGTAGAAGCTTCTCACTCCGTTTACAGACCTGCGTTTACTTACAGTGCTCCAGTAACTAAAACCAAGAAGAAGCAAAAATTCTTTCCAACCAGTACCATCCTGCCAGTATCCAAACCGGTCAGCCTGCTGTCTGAGTACCCACCTTCTGTTATCCAGCCTGGTGCCCCGGTGCCCGCTGTTCAGCCTGATACCCGGATGCCTGATGGCCCAGTGTACGCTCCCCAGCCTGATGATCCCCCACCCAGCCTGATGATCCCCCCCAGGCTGATGATCCCACCCGACCTGATGATCCCACCCGGCCTGATGACCCGATCCAGTCTGATAATCCTCCCCGGCCTGATGATCCTCCCCGGCCTGATGACCCGATCCAGCCAGACGCCCAGGTGCCCGCGGTCGTGCCAGATGACTCAGAGCCCGCTGTCATGCCAGATGACTCGCTGCCCGCTGTCGAGCTTGGTGACTCGGTGCCCACTGTCAAGCTTGGTGACTCGGTGCCAGCTGTCAAGGTTGGTGACCCAGTGCCCGCTGTCGTGCCAGATGACTCGGTGCCCGCTGTCAAGCTTGGTGACCCGGTGCCCTCTATTCTGCCAGATGACCCGGTGCTCGCTATTCTGCCAAATGACCTGGTGCCCGCTGTCGTGCCAGATGACTCGGTGCCCGCTGTCGTGCCAGATGACTCGGAGCCCGCTGTCGTGCCAGATGACCCGGTGCCCACTGTCGTGCCAGATGACTCGGAGCCCGCTGTCGTGCCAGATGACTTGGTGCCCGCTGCTCCGCCCGATGTGCCTCTGCCTGCTGCCCAGCCCGATGTGCCTCTGCCTGCTGCCCAGCCCGATGTGCCATTACGGACTGTTTGGAGCGTCCTGAGGCCGCTCCTTGAGGGGGGGGTCTTGTTGGCTGCAGTACCAGGGCTGGCCAGCGGGTGCTCTCGGCAGCCAGAAGCTCACTCCTGCAATCAAGCCATCACCTGAGGCTGATTGCAGGAGGTGTATTTAAGGAATGGCCAGGCCTGCAGTCAGGGCCTTGGTGTATTGTTCCCATGAGCCCCTGTACCTGCATCCTGTCTGCTTCCTGCCTGATCCTGACTCTGCTTGAATCGTTTACCTACTCCTTGTACCTTGTCTGCCCGTTAGCTACCGACCCGGCCCGCCTGACTACGTTGTTCTCCATATTTATATATGTATATATCAGTTTAGGTTTGGGTTTGTTTCACCTTGTTGTACGTATTTGTGTTAGTTTTGGGTTTGGTTTGTTGCACTGCGTTTATGTTTGTGTTGCCCTTAATAAATTATATTGTTTTGCACGCTATACCTGAAGTCTGTGTTTCCCTGTGTCGGTCCACACACCTCTGGTCATACCCGGAGCCCTGACAGGTGTATACGGGGAGGGGACTGATTATAGAATGGTGTATACGGGGAGGGGGACTGTATATAGAATGGTATATACGGGTAGGGGGCGGGGTATATAGATTGGTGTATCTTTTAACATTCGGTGAAAGGTTTTAAAATCTGTCCAATCGGTTTTCATTAGTCGCCTTCTTGAAGGAGGGTTTGTTCAGTGGTGGGTTCATACACATAGGCGTAAATATAGGCGTATGACCGCAGCACCCGGGTTAAGAGGGTGGGGCACCAGGGGGGATTTGATATAAATCACTAGTCAGTCAGGCTGGATGTAAATCCTAGTTTTCTACATAAAGACTAATTCTTGCTGGTATAACTTTAATATGCGAGTAGATGAAGATTTTTAGAACAACAACTTTTCATGTTAGTTTTTTTATCCCCAGTTTAATAGGTTAATCATTCATATTTGGACAACTTTTCTGTTGTACTTCGGAAGGAGAAAAATAATCATCACCTTAATAATAACAATTTAAATAGATTTATTCAACTGAAACAATCACATTCCAGCATATGTTCTTTGCTTAAACATCCATGTTTTTTTAACCGATTTGGCTAAACAAAATATATATATTTTAACCACTTGAGCTCCAGAGGATTTACCCCCCTTAATGACCACGCCTCTTTTTGCTACTCGGCGCTGCACTAATTCAATTGCGCGGTCATGCAACGCTGCACCCAAACGAAATTTACGTCCTTTTGTTCACACAAATAGAGCTTTCTCTCGGTGTAATTTGATCACCTGTGCGCTTTTTATTTTTCACGCTATAAACAAAAAAAGGCCAAAAATTTTGAAGAAAAACAATATTTTTTATTTTCAGCTATAAAAAATATACAGTAAACTCAAAGTTGGTTATAAATTTAGGCTAAAATGTATTCCGCTCCATGTTTTTGGTAAAAAAAAATCCCAATGAGTGTATATTGATTGCTTTGTGTGAAAGTTATAGCGTCTACAAACTATGGTATAGATACTGCAATTTACGCCATTTTTCTGCTATACAGCGCTGCGCTAGTTTAACGGACAATTGCGCGGTCATGCAATACGGTACGTAAATGAAATTTACATCCTTTTTTTCTCCACAAATTGAGCTTTTTTTCGGTGGTATTTGATCGCCTGTGCGGTTATTATTTTTTGCGCTATAAAAAAAAAGGCTGACAATTTTGAGGAAAAAAAAAAAAACAATATTTTGGACTTTTTGCTATAAAACATGTCCAGTAAAAAAAAAAAATGCAAAAATCAAATTTATTCATAAATTTCTGCCAAAATGCATTCTGCGACATGTCTTTGCTACAAAAAACCAATACGTGTAAATTAATTGGTTTACGTGAAAGTTATAGCGTTTACAAATGGCGGGAAAGATACTGGGATTTTTAGGGTTTTTTTTTATACTAATAATGGCGGCGATCAGCGAATTATGGCGGCGATCAGGGACTTATGGCGGGACTGTGGGACTGCGGCGGACATTCTGACATTGGGGGGTACTGACTTGGGGTCACTGACATCCCCAAAAACACTAATACAGTGATCAGTGCAAAAACAAAAAAAAACACTGACACTGTACTAATGGCACTGGGGAGGAAGGGGTTAACTTTATTTTGCAGGGAAGGGTTATAGGAGTGAGGGGGAGTGTTTTACTAGGGGGCGGGGCGGGGGTGTGTACTGCACGGGACAAGGCTGATCGAGAAAGAGAAACTCTTCTTTCTCGATCAGCTCATCCTCGAGCTGACAGGGAAGTGAGAGACAGCACAGCTACTGCAGCTGTGCTCTCTGTCACTGTTTGCCGCCTATCGGCGGGAAACAGCCGCTAAGGAACGGCTGTGACCCGGCGACTCACATCTGCGGCGGTGATCGGCGGGACAGATAGGGCGGCGACGCGCCTCGCGCGCGCCCCCTATTTGTTTACAAAACACACGTTTTAAAACGTGGTTTTGCCTGCGAGTGCCGCCCTGCCGCCGTATATATATACAGTGGCTGGGCGTCATGCGGTTAAGAAACTTAGACTGTCAGCCCCTCCCTCCTCACACTGTCAGCCCCTTCCTCCTCACACTTAGTTTCACCTTCTTCTTGTGCAGATCTATTCCACTCCAAACAATCAGAAAAATATTGATTCTATTCACTGAACTTCTTGAAACTTGGCACTGAAGGGGTTGATTCTGTATTCATAGGTTTGTAGAAGTTAGGATGAAGGTCTTTTTCTTAACTCTGTTCATGTTATAACATTTTTGCTGTGAAGAAGAGGCATGTGATCTCCGCTGAGTCCAATTCAGTTTTGAGAACTGCAAAAGTAAACCGATCATCTGTGATAATATCCTGTAGGCAGAGAAACTGCCCAATAATCTTACAAAAACCTCTGGAAGAGCGTGACATTGTGAATGGATTCATGGAATTTATGTACCAAAAACAATTCAACACATACAGCCTTATTCTACATAATTAAAAAACTAATCTTTATTTCATAATATAGATTTGTATAGCGAGCGCTTACTGTGGTCAAAATCAGATACAAGCCGCTAGAACACCAAAAAAGGCAACCAACATAACCTTCCAAGACAACGTATAGAGAAAAGGTGCAGCGCTATTAGTATGAATAATCGAATATCAATATTGCTTCAAAATAAAGACATTAAATTATAATTCTCATAAATGCGTTATTAAATCTAGTGTCCAAAAACATAAAAAAGTGTGATGTGCAGGTTCTGTCCGGTCTCCTTCCTTAATAAGGATAAATGATCCGAAGATGAACAGGGAAATAAATGAAATGCGCACTCACCAGAAGTGCGTTTATAAAACGCATAAAAGAAGTTGTCTTTTCTTGTCCGATACATCTAGGTCCTTGGCTCTCGGGTAAAGCTGTGTTCTTTGATCCTCACCACTCATCCATTATGGCCAGGTTCCCTGATTCCTCAGACATTCATGCACCTCTGGGGTCCCTCCTTAAGCTCGGTACTGCGAAAGGGTGGTGCTCATAAAGAGCCCAATAAGGGACATCACATAGCGTGATACTGCGTAAAATATTTTATTTGCAAAGCAGAGGTGAAAAGACAAAGGAAAAAAATACTGACCCCAGTGATTACAGATGGCCACCAACGGTGGCTAAGATGTCCAATTGCTGTAGCCCCCCCTGACGCGTTTCGTGCTATGCACGTTCTCAAAGGGTACAGGGCTTATTTCATAATGGAATAACCTTTGGATGGTAATATATTTTCCTCAAAAAGCATTTTATCTAAAAAAAAATCCGATTTTTTTTTTTTAATTTTTTTAAAAAAAATCATTGATTTTTATCCACTCTGTGGGGCACGCAGGAAAATATGCCGATGTGCATGCGTGTAATTATGAGCATAGGCGTTTACGTGGGGAGGAGCAAAGCGTATTTTGGAACACCGCAGAAATACAGAAAATTGACAACCGATCGCACACAGGACACCGAATCACTGTGGCCAAAACTCAACCAGGTAGTGTAAAATGGCTTCAGCTCTGCTCCCCACCCGCAGGGAGAGGCCCCCTCAGATGCGTTTTGCCCTCTAGTCGCTGGGGCAATATGCGGGAGACCCCACCTCCGATTACACAGCATCGTCGCAGATGATTAAATACAGGTGGGTTCTCCTGTATGCTGCCTCAAGGACTAGAGGGTGAAACGCGTCTGAGGGGCCTCTCCTGTAGGTGGAGCGCAGAACTAAAGCCATTGTACATTACCTGGTGTGGTCACAGTGAGTCCTTGTGTGCGACACGCAGGAAAATATGCCGATGTGCATGCGTGTAATTATGAGCATAGGCGTTTACGTGGGGAGGAGCAAAGCGTATTTTGGAACACCAGCAGAAATACAGAAAATTGACAACCGATCGCACACAGGACACCGAATCACTGTGGCCAAAACTCAACCAGGTAGTGTAAAATGGCTTCAGCTCTGCTCCCCACCCGCAGGAGAGGCCCCCTCAGACGCTTTTTGCCCTCTAGTCGCTGGGGCAATATGCGGGAGACCCCACCTCCGATTACACAGCATCGTCGCAGATGATTAAATACAGGTGGGTTCTCCTGTATGCTGCCTCAAGGACTAGAGGGTGAAACGCATCTGAGGGGCCTCTCCTGTAGGTGGAGCGCAGAACTAAAGCCATTGTACATTACCTGGTGTGGTCACAGTGAGTCCTTTGTGCGATCGATTGCCATTTGTTTGACACATTGTAGTAGTCTGACGTACTGTTTTTATATGTTCATTACATGTCCTGTTGGTGGATATCAGTGATAGGAGCATTATAGCGGGAATTTTTTTTTTTTAATCCTCCTTAGCTGAGGCTCCCTGACGCTGTAAATTCTGATGTGTTTTATGCTATGCGGCCACATCCCTATAGTTACATCCGTG